GAAAAACACCGATTAAAAGTAAGTCGCTACCAACCAATTTTTCTTCACGCGAATTTCAATTAGAAATTGTTACCTTATCATTTTCTATAGTAAAAAGGATCACCTTGCGTATTTTGATCAAGCGACTTCATTCGCGAACTAAGCACATACACAGAGTTTATCGCAGGACTCGGAGAGCATTGGCTCGAGCTGATCCACAAACAATTAAGATAGCTAATCAATATATCGCTAAGATCAATTATAATTTAGTCAAAGCGAATAGAATCGTTAGAATAATTAATAACATTAACGATCACAATTGCGAGTCTACACACACCTACACACATTCTAAAGACTTAATTACTCCAAGTTTCCTTCCCCATTTTTCTCCAAGCTACTCCCCAGTATATTCCCCCGAACTCTTTTCTCCTGAACCGCCTTCCTCCCCGAGATCATTCTTAATGAACTACCCGACTTAGAGTCCGCTTCATCCTACCAGGATTAAATTAAACCGATATATCCCCCTTCATTCTCTTTCTCCATGATTCCATATTTCCTTTCTACTCACACACGCACACATGTTTTGTTTTTGTTTTTTTATTAATTAAATCTTCATATTATATTAACCAGTCAGAACCTAAAATTAACGATAAAATCATTCCCTTGCATTCTGACTGATGCCCTCCGTATTAATGTAACACCCGCGTTAATTAAAAATCAAAATAAATCCTTATTACCCCCCCCCTCATCCCTTAGATAAAAATCGCACTTGGTCCCATCCCGCGTAAAAGAGATTAAATTCTCTGACCGAAAAGGGACCGCCGAGCGAACTTCCGAAAACAGTGTAATAGCGACTCAGTCGTTTACTTGCTTTTCGAACCTGTCAGTTCGTTCGACCCGATTCCAAACGCCACGAGGCGTTTGACTTCGGGATAATAAAAGATAGTTGTTGCGCCCTTCCGTTGACTTATCCTTCCCCGAGTCTGGACATAACAATGAAATAAAAGAAAGGCTAACAATAAGAGAGGTATATAAGGAAAGACAGAAAATAACATAAAAGAAAGAGATAAAGATATGTTGGAAGAGATGACAGATAAAGTATTGGAATGAATAAAGAAGAAGGAGGAAAATATAAAAAAATCAGATGAAGAGGCCTTCACAGCACCAAACATTGCAGTAAGATTATAGAGAGGTTACAAACTTACACATTTTAATGATCATATTACTGGTATATATCACTAACCTTATAATGAAACCTTACTTTATAATATTGTCGGAAGATTAGTGGAACCTTATTTTAATATTTCAGCAATCTTACGCGCAATCATTTTACTTTTTGCGTATGCTGAAAATATTACAAAAAACTATAAAATATCGTTTAATATTAATATTTAAGTTTAATGTGCATGTTTTCATATATCCAAAATTATTATTTATTTAATATTTCATGAGAAATGTTACTGCGCGCAATATTCCAAAAACTTTACAAAAAGATAGTATTCAGCTGCTAATTCGTTATACTATGCGACGCACGATGCGTCCATCTCGTATTTGAGTTTCAGTCATAAGAATTATACAAAACTTGCAAAGGACAACTGGCAGAAGATTAAAAATGTAATTATTTCTATCAGTCTAATTTCTGATACAATCCCAACATAGGGAATTAAGATATTGGACTGATTGTTTCTTAGAAATCGGGAAGATAAATGTCCGAAAAAGGTAAAATTGGTAATTATTCAGTTTAGCGGCCCCACCTCAGATATCGATAAAATTATGCTCATTCGACGCGTTTTTACACAGAACGAAAGAATATAACAGAAAAAAATGTCGCTCTGGCTTGCGAAACGAGATATTAATAGTTAAAGTTGACGACTATTTAAGTTAGAAAACCTGTCATCATCGTAATTATTTCTATCGGTTTAATTTTTGATACGACTCCCGTATCGGGGAATTCAGATATTGAACTGATTTTTGGAAAATCAGACAGATAAATGTCCGATTTTCATTTATTCGGAAAGAAATTGTCCGAATAAGTGAAAATTGTTCGTTATTATATCTACTTAAAATATAAAATAGAAATTAACTTCCATGTAAATAAAATTGTTTAATTTTAATTTAATTTTATAATTAAAATTATTCAAATTTTCCTATACATATTACATTAATATATCACCGTGTCCAATTGTACTGTGTCCAAGTGCACCGCTCCCATATCGATTATTGACGTCATTTTGAATCTTATGAGACCAAACTTTAGGACGTCTAATTGGTCATTTTGTGACCAAAATTTACCGTCATTTTGGTACTTGGGATTGAAACTTTTTAAATGTTTAAATCTATTTAAATGTACCATTTTATATAAATGTCTAGAAACTGCTCGATTCTTGCTGTCAATCTGCCGTCAGATTGCGTGCAGGCTCTGCGTGATTTCTGCTGCCAATCTGCTCACATTGCCTGTCAGCAGGCTTTGTCGACAAAACACGAGCTTAATGCGGACACAGATGACTATGGTTTTGGTGTGAGATTCTGATTAAATTTGCTGCCAATCTGCGCGCATACTGCTAACATTTTGCTATCTGGGGGTATTCTGCCTATTCGGCAACGTTTTTACTATTCGGCCGAACACCGAATATTAGTATACTATTCGACCAATTACCGAATACTTTTAAATGTAAAATTGAAAGGAAATAGTAGCTAATAGACTGTTGCCACCTCAGCCGCGGATACGTAATTTTAACATGCTCGAGTATCTAATTTATTTATTTATATATCTAATAAAATTAAATTAAATAAAACACATTTATTGTTACATAATGTATTTATGCGGGGAGGCGCGGTTGGGAGTGCCGCGCGCCCGCTGCATTGTCTTCGACTCTATGTTGAGCCGTTGGCGTTAAAACCTTGTCTAATATTCGCCGAATATTCGATTATTCGGCACATGACCTTGCCAAATATTCGGTATTCGGTTGAATATATGGTACTATTCGTTGCATCTCTTATATACAGGGTGTCCGACAAGTAAGTGACCAAACGAAAGGTGGAAGTAGATTGGCTCAAACAGAAAAGAAAAGTCCTATACCATTTTGCGATTTTTGTAATAATTATTGAGAAATTAATTAAAAAAGACCGGCCAATTCGCGCGAGTATTACCGCGCGGTGAGAAAGAACGGCCTGATATAGGCGGCATTGATATATGGTTGCTAGGACGCGAAAATCCATCGTTATGTACCGCTCGTATATAACTGTTGTCATTTGTAGAACGTTCCTCCCAAAACTGTCGTGCGCCTACTGTTGTCTCACTTGTCATTTAGCCGTGCCTGAGCGCGCAAAATCTCAGCCCTGTCATTCGTAAAATATAATCGCTTCCCGTTTAAAAACTATTATAGCCTCGACATTTTTGTATTAGAATTTTCGTCTTGAAATGTTCTAAGGAATCTGCCATTAAGAGGAGATACAGTAGTTTTAGGACACCCTGTATATATACCAAAAGTGGCCACTCTCTTTTATCTTTTAAACTAAAAGAGATAAACCATAACAAATATATATCAAATTAAATGATTCAAACTAAACTCTATTGTGAGCATAGTAGTCGTTTACAAAAGCTATCTGTGTTAACGAACGTATGCATAATTTCTTTATAACAATGTGGATATTTCGATAGAATAAAAGTTGTGGTGCTGTTTGAAACGAATAGAATGATGTAATTTAATATAAATATTTTACATATTAAACAAGCTTTATGGGCTTAAGGATTTATCGGAGCTATCTTAAAATATTACACTATTGATAAAAATTGGTGAGGTTGTTCTTTACGTCTTTCTAATATGCTAAAAAAAAGATCACATTAATTCATTAAACCGTTAATGAGTTATTATGATTTTAATTTACACTCATTTTTTTGTGTAACAGACTCAGTTTTTTGTTCTTTTGTTATAGCCATAACTTTTTTTCTTAATTTTCCACATTTTTGTTATGCAAGTTTTTTTGTATACATACGTTTAGTAATTATATTATTTCGCTTTTCCAACGATAAGCTGTAATATTTTCCATGATGTAAAAATATAAGGTGTACCATTGCGCATAATGGCGGCCGAATTTGGAACAGCCAATCAAATTTTTGCTCCAAAAGTTTCCCGAGATTCAAATGCAGTATTTGTGAAAATCTGATAACAATGCAAACAAAATTAAAATTTGTCAAAATAATACGCAATCTTTTAAATTAATAAAAATATGTAATACAAAACAAAATTCGGCAAGCATTCCTTTTTCTCCTAACTTAACCTGTTGTCAGGGAAGCTGCCATGTTGCTTTTCATGATTTGGGGCAAATCTCTGGTCAAAGAGCAGCCATTATTTTGAACCACTGCGCATCCTCGGGAATGGTACATCTTATATTCTTATATCATGATATTTTCTATCGCGATATGTCGAACAACACAATGTAATCACTAACCTCACTTTGTGCAACTCTTTTATTTTATAAAGTTAGATTCAGAACATTTTTACTCTCAAAAGTTGCGTCATATAAATAAGGAAATTCGCAAATAGAGCTAAAATAATATTGGGAATATAAAAAAATATGTTTCTACAAGTAAATATGTAATTATATTATCATTTGTGTCATTCATATCTACCTTTACTATACGTAGGGCGTAGATATTTAAGAATTTAGAATTTCGGGTACGATTGTATCTCCAATACATCCTTAAAATATCGCGGGCGACATTTACCTTTTCATTTTCGGTCCTGCGATATGGCCAACTTCTGACTCGTACATTAGAGATTAATATATGCACAGACTTCTATATATTACTAGACTGCTAACTCCCCGAATTTTGGTTATATAAAATGGCCTCAAAAAGCATGTATTAAGGTATCTCATTTTGCACATGCGCAGAAGCAATCTGATAGATATAGACAATACATTCTTCATAATTATAATTGACAGTTGACAATTATTTTAAATTTAACTTGAATTGAATAAAAAAATTATTGAAAAATAATAATAAAAGAAATATAAAAATGCCTTTTAAATGTACTGTTGTAAAATGCAAAAGCACCGCAGCATACAACAGAAATAAAAATAATGATAACAAAATCTCTTTCTTTAGGTAAGTATCATTAAATAAAAATAAAT